TTAGGATTCTAGGTAACAGAATTTTTTAAAAAAAAAATCAGGAACCTTGTAGTGAATTTTGTTAATCAGGGAGTGGCGTAGTTCCAGGGACTGCTATGTGGCTAGAAATGGGGGATTTTCCTGAGAGTGTGGGTTAGGTCGAGGGACGACTGCGGGGCAGAGAATGTGATTTTCTCGCAGCTGCTCTAGTGAGCAGGAGCAGGCTTAGCTGAGACATTTGACACATCATGGGCTTCAAGCTTGCGGCTTCAAGCTTGCGAAATTGGGCTTAGGGTGTAGGGTTTAGGGTTTAGGGTTTGTGCTTGAGAGCTTTGGGCTGCACATCTTGAGGGATCAGGGCTTAGTATTCAGAGCTTTAGGGTTTCCAGCTCCCAGTTTAGGGGGTTTAGGGTTTAGGGGTTTAAGGTCGTGGAAGAGATGGGACAGTTTTGGGACGTCTAGACCAAGCCTCAAATAACTGGGAGCCCCGGGGAAATAGATATTCAAAACCCTAAACCCTAAACCCTAAAACCCTAAACCCTAAATCCTAAACCCTAAAACCCTATACCCTAAACCCTAAAACCCTAAACATGTTCAGAGGGGCCTCGAGGCAAAGGACCGTCTCATGAGGCTTCAAATGGAAGCTCGGAACGCATTTGGGGTTTCCCAAGATGAGGAGCAACATTTTGGGGGGGTCCCGATACTAAGGACTACAGCATTGCATTTTGGGGTGTGCGTATATTAGGGTCGACTATTTAGGTCAAATCTGGCTTGATAAGTGGCTTGCAGGAATAGAGCCAAAGGCACGGAGTCAGCATGTTTACGGCAAAGGGGGCTTCGCAGAGTATGCTGGGCTCCCTGTGACTGGCTTAGGGCTACAATCTTCAAAGGCCCCAATCCATCGCAATTCTTAACCTCGACTCATACTTTTCCAGTTCTCAGGGGATTCTTGCAAGAAATCCACTGGTATGAAGCTGTGGACTGAAAGTAAGGATCATAGCATGTCACAACCTGGACAGGATGGTTTTTAATCATTGAAATCTATGCGCGCGAAGCGCTTAACAGGCGTTGCAGATACAACTACACCCTAGGAATGCATCTCAGCAAAATGGATTACCTCCACCGCCCCCCCTTACAAAAACAACGCAAAAGATCACCGGCCCTTAGCCCCAACATAATGGGACGTAGTAATTTGCCTTGGAAGATCTGCGTATACGGGTACACGTATGGCATCTATCTCCACATGTGGGTTCCTACTCATGTTGCGCAGGGCGGCTGGCAGAACCCATCGCTTGCTAACCCAAGTGTAGGCGATCTGCCTCAGGTCTGATTTCACAGTTTTGGGTTCAGGGCTTGGGGAGTTTAGGGTTTAGGGAGTTTAGGGTCCCTAAATCCTAAACCCTACTGTACGGCCACCTAGAAGTTAAACCCTAAAGTTACCTAAGCACTATCCCCTAGACTCTAAGGTTACCTAAACCCCTGGACCCGAAACCCTGAAGTTGCCTAAGCCCTATATCCCAAGGCTATTTAAACCCTGAACCCTAACAGCTCCCAAAACCCTACTCCACAAGGCTACCTAAACCCTGAACCCTAGAATTACCACAAAAACCGAACCCCAAGCTTAACACAACAGCCTTCAGGACTATAGTACAAATAATATTTTTAATACTTCCTTAAGGTTGTACTTAAATACATTTTTTGTTAAAAAAAAGAGTCCTAAGCCTAAACCCTAAACCCTACAGGAACCCTAAGGTTACCACAACAACAGCCTAAAGGATGGTAAAGGGAGGGCATCTACTGCACCGGACCAGCTGTTGTAAACTTACTTGGGGGCTAGTAGGGAACAAGGAAATCTACTATGCAGGGATGATACCATATGGGGAATATGGTATATAGGGATTATACTATATAGGGAATATATTACACAGGGATTAGATTCGATAGGGACTATATACTATATATGGGGATATTTTATATATGTAGGGGTTATGTGGGGATTATGTTCCCTCATTCCCTACCAGCCACCAGTAAGTAAAGGCGCAGCCTGCGATCTTAGCTCCCTTGCCTTGATCTCGGTTGGCGAGGAACAGACCGGCAACCGGGTTTACTAGGGTAGGTTTGGGGGCGCTATAAACACGATCTTTAAAGGCTGTAGAAGGATTAGATAGGGGTTGGGGTATATTTTTTTCCAACCTACTCCTGTCTAGTCCTACTCAAAGAGGTCGTCCGGAAGGTTTCATACAGAGAGACCCGTCTATAACCTGCCGATCCCTTAGTGCAACCGCCCTGTTCGCCCGCATAGAGCCCTTTGTGGCCTAATTGCTCCCTGGTTAGGCCGTCATGCTTTGAGGGCAACGTACACTCAACCCTAAACTCTAAACCCTAAACCCCCAAACCCCAAACCCCTAAACCCTAAAATCCAAGCCTAGGCCCAGACTCCGCTGACCCGCTACAGCCCAAAACCCACAAACTGTAGACCTAAAACCCTCAACCCTACACCCTAAACCATTAAAGATATGTAAGCCCGAATTCCCTATGTAAACTACTGGGTTGCTGTTAGAGAACTAAATTAGATTACCATATTACGGAAACCCTACTGTTTACTATATACCCATTAGATAAGGTCCTTAACAGCAACCCAGACTGAGTGCAGAAGAGAGTTGCTGGTCCCAGGCTGCATCCATCTCGCGGCCTCAGGCGCCAAGGGTCTGGCATACTGCTTGAGATTTCATCTCCTGGGTTTTTACGGTTTACGGTTTAGGGTTTAGGGGTTTAGGGATTATGGTTTTAGGGTTGAGGGGGTTGGATTTTTTAGGGGATTGAAGGAGTGAGGTATAGCGAGGAAGATAAGGGCTTTTATAGGGAGCACCCATAGGGATCTGGTCTCCTAGTCTCAGTTACCAGTACTTTTAGCAATTAGAACTTTGGAAATAGGGCCTAAGATCATCGTTTGTGTGCTTAATTAAAACAACCACAACCCGGTTTTGATATACTGGTCTACAGATTCAAAGGCCCGTTCTCAAATCTGAAGGCATAGAGAGCCCCAAGACTGTTGACGGTGCAATACATCATTAAGTTCTCCTGTGCGTGAGGCTTCTCAGAACTAAGGCGAGGGAACGGGCACCCAAACCCTAAGGGGCTCAATTTTCCACCTAAGCCTAAACACTAAACTCTAAACACCTCAACCCTACAGCAATACTTACCTCCAATGTGGTTCATATCAACTATAGTCTAAACTCCTAGTATCCCCCTTAATAACCCCTGTAGTAGTCCCCTATATAATCCCCTGAATAACCCCCTTTAAGGAGTTTAGGCTATAGCTCCTATGAAAATCACTCCGGGGCCTGGTGTAGGTCACAGATGCACCTGGCCCTGTAAGGAAACCTCTCCCTCCCCGTCACAAGCCCGAAATCCTTTCCCCCCTGTGCTTACCGTGGACCCGGGTATGGATTCTACTTCAACGGATTGTTCTTGAGGATTTTTCCCCAAAACCTAGACCCCAAACCCTGCACCCCAATCCCGCGGTTTCACCACCAAGCAGCTCAGCTAGCTGCTCCCCTCCCCGAACCCTGTAGGGTTTAGGGTTTAGGGCCCTACAACCCTAAACCCTAAACTCCCCGCTAGCCTCCCCAGTCGTGGTTTCCCAGGACAGAAAGCCAGGGCCTGTGCGCTGAGACGGAATTTCGGGATCAGAGCCTAAGCTTAGTTTCTCGAAATGGCGCCCCTAGCGATATGCAGGGATTAGAGGAGCACCCAGGGGGTTCTTATGAAGGTTTTTATGGGGATTAGATTGAGAAGTTCTACAATAGAACTCCAGAATGTCACACCCTAGACCCAAAACCGGAATATAGAGGCTTTACATAGACTTTCCTCAGGGACGGTGTAAGGGATGTATGGGCATTCTAGGTAGGCCTAGTCGGAACTCAACCTTAATTCGCCTGCAAGACACTCATCAAACACAAGGTTTGGGTGCAGGGTTTACAGGTCAAATTCATGCGACATATGGTTGCATGCTTCCAAGCATTGAGGGTTGAGGACCTTTGGATGGATTCCGGATGGTGGAGCGAAGATGTAAGGTTCTTTGTTGAGGGCTGGGGAAGCACGATTCAGAATTGCGGTGTGGATTATTTTCTGGCGCGCGTAGGGTCTAGAATGAACCCCTATAGTCATCTCCGAGCTTCTTCTAGGAAAAACGCATATCAGTATTCCGGTGATTGTTGAGAAGCTGTCCAGCTTTTCGGGCCAAATTGATTTCTTCTTCTGGGTGGGAAAGCCGTGTCCCTACACGGACGTGGACTTGAACCCTACACCAAAAACATCACCACTCAGTGTCGGTGGAGCTCCAGTCCAATCCTGAACCCTAAACCCTAAACCCTGAACCCTAAACCCTAACCCCTAAACCCAGAATCCCTTTTATCTAGGCCTAGGCCTAAACCTTGCTGTCAGCTTTAAACGCCTTCATCCCAACGCGCTTGAAGTTCCCCCCCCTCCAAAAAAAAGCAAACAACGCGTAACACCATAGAACCACAAGCCCCGAAGCGGAAGCCTAAATGGCTATTTATCAAGATCCTCTCCCTGTAATCCGAATGGCCGCTAGAATCCTTTCATGGGGCCCATGGGGGCCCCACTTGTGAGAAAAAAGCCAATCCCTAAACCCTAAACTCCTGTATCCCTCTGGGTGAGCGACTTGCCATCAAGTCCGGGACCCTTGTAGACATTCTCAAAGATCCTGGTTTTGGGTTTAGGGTTTTAGGGTTTAGGGGTTTGGGGCTTGGGGCATTGGGTTTTAGGGTTTAGGGCTTAGGGTTTTAGGGTTTTAGGGCTTTGGCTTTAGGGTTGTTCCCCTTTACAGTAGCAGCTGCCGCAATAGGTAGTAGGGGTAATGCTAGCCCCTTCACAAACCCCCCTTCAGGACAGTTACTGTCAGACTGTCAGAATCACTCAGACAGTGGGCTATTACAATCAACAATTTCCCTATCACGACCTGACCAGGGGTAGATTCCAGGGGTAAAGGGGTCTAATAGCTCGTCCCGATACAGTAGGTCAACAGCGTTCCCGATCCGATTCCACTAGGCGTTTTTGTCATAAAAGTGCTGGCCTGGCTACTAAACCCTCAAAACCCGGCACATCCTAAAGCCAGTTATGAACGCCCAGCACGAGATCTCCAACGCCCAAAGCCCAGGTCTCAAATGTTAAAACACACAAGACGCTGCCAAGCTTCCAATTGAACTGTGCACGGGTGACGTCGTTGACTTTGGACATGGGCGTGTCCCCACATTTGCCAAAGATGCCTGCCCAAGCTACAGCTTTCAAGATTTCACAGCATGGCGCCCCGGGTTAAATCTGGGTTGGGCAGCCGTAGCCTTGATAGGTGGAAGTCAAGTCATTGTAGCAACAATGGGAACGAAGAGCCGGTGAGCCAGAGAGGTCTATCCTAATCATCTTTTGCTGACACACCTGCCCTTAAACCCTAAACCCTAAACCGCCCTTACAAGGGATGATTTCAAGTCTTAGAAGCGCTCGCCATCTAGGGATTAGGGTTTAGGCCTTAGGGAGCCTTAGGCTGGAGAGTACTAGGGAGGACTATTATAGTCCCCCTTAAGTAGATAGAATGTGGGGTATATGCGGATCTTAGTATGATATACCCAAAGTCATATTCTATCTACTTGAGTCATTGAGGGGCACTATACCCCTCTAAATCCTAAACCCTAAACCCCAAACCCTAAACGCTATATTCTATCCCCATGGTTGCTGATTATTAGGGGTGGGTGGGCTTAATGCTTCCTTGGAGAAGGGATGAAGGTTCTTTGGGGTGGAATTATCAGGTGGCCGCCCACAAAAGACCGTATGAATATTATGCAGCACTCCAATGTGAAAGGGGGATATGTAGAGATTCAGGTTAAATTGGGGGGGAATTGTACGGCCCTGAATCCTGCCTGATGCTGCTAGTTATGCCCTTTCCTCAGTGGCTAGGATTTAGTTCTGACCATTGCCTGCAGGGGTCGAGCGGGTCGTCTTCGTGGATTCGGAGAACTTCACACGTCGCATCAGACTTTCTAACGGCACCCTCAGCCGTTGGCAACAAACCTAGACCCTAAACCCTCAACCTTAAGCCTAAACTCGAATCCCATTAAAGCACTGCAGGAGGAAACGCTGTGACCATCCTTCTAGCCTCCCAAAAGCAGGCACCAAACTAATAGGCAAGATGACAGGATGTCACGCAGCCGACTTCTCCAAAAGGACAGTATAAAAACAAACTGAAGCCCCAAGTAAGCCTGGGACAAAATGATGTAGTTAACGTGCGCAGGCAAGGGGGGGGGGGGTAGTAAAACGATGACCCCGCAAACCCTGAACCCTAGATCAGAAACCCGGAGCGCTAAACCCTAAAACCCCAACCCCTAAACCCCAAACCCTAATCCGGTTTAGGGTTTAGGGGTTAAGGATTTAGGGTTTAGGGTTTGGTTTTGGCTTAGGCTCCAAAACCCTGTACATCCCTGTACCACCAAACCCGAAACTCTAGGTAAAACCTAAAACCCAACCCCCACCTCCCCAGTAGAAGTTGTCGCCAACGTTTAGCAGATAGTCCGGATTGTTCATCTGAGGAGACACGAGGTGGATCTAGGGATTAGGGGTGTAGGGATGTGGGGTTTGGGGTCTAGGGATTTAGGGATGTAGGGCTTGGGCTTCAGGGAAGTTAGGATTCAGGGTTTAGGGATGTAGGTTTTGGAGTTCAGGGATTTAGGTTTAGGATTGAAGGTTTAGGGTTGGCAGTCAACATAAAGGTGGAGGCTTCCAAAACATTCGGGTCCCTCTTTCCAAAGGATACTGCTTATGATATTTCTCCAAACCCTAAACCCTAAAACCCTAAACCCTAAAACACTCAACACTGATACGAAAATTGAACTTTGTTGGTTCTATCCAGGTGCTATTCGATGTGTACAACCTGTAAGCTGTAGAAACAGATGGTGCCAGCTTAGGGATTTTTTGGAGGGTTTAGGGATTAGGGTTGTTTAGGGATTTCGTGGTGGAATTCCGCAATTTTCCTCATGAGGCTTGGAATTCCAGACGTAGAGCTTGGAAGTGCAGCCCAAGATTTGGGCAGCTCGCGTGAAAGAAGATATCATGCTGTAAATATATAAGGACTGTAAGGGGATGATATCAAATCTAGGCTAGGATGGCACTCCCTTTGGCATAAGACTTCTACTTTGTAGTTCTACCTGCGTCTTAATAGGGAATGAGGGCTGGATTCCAACAGTCTGTAATATACCCCCGCAACTGTCCTTCTATCCTATTCCCGCGCTACTTACTACGCACCGGTATATAGTACCCCTTAAGTAGATAGAATATGGGGTATATGGGGATCTTCTTGTAATATACCCAAAACCATACTCTATCTACTTAAGGGGGACTATAAGCTCATCTTGTGCCACCTTTGCGCGCTTGATCATCTGGTTCGCCACCAGGTGCTGCGCTTGTGTGTCAATGTCCTCTCAGGTCAGAAAGGCGAGAGCAAGGACATCATGGGTAAGCATGTCCAAAACATGACCGTACGGCGTGTTTACCCAAAATGCAAGAAGCCACATTTCTGTGACTTCCAAAACACAATTCCCCCCCCCACCATTTTTGTACACTCCATCACTAGTAAGTGGAGACAGGCTTGCGGCGGTGGAAGAGAACAAGAAACGATCGCATCCTTATTCGAGCCGCTTATCCACATCATCTTCCTGGGTGTTAGTAGGGAATATGAAAGGGATGACAGAGGTATCCCCCTTCATGACCCCTAGAATACTCCCCTGTGGGACCCCCTCTGAAAGAGCTTAGACTACAGCTCATATACTCCCCAATCAACATAGTACTGGCCAAGATTTTCTCAGTTCCCCAACACCCTACTAGCAGCCCTCGATCCTGAAAACCTGAAAAATAGTTTCCGTCCTCCCCTACTAGCAACCCTAAACGTTAAACGAGCCTAAATCCTGACCCTACATAGCAGCTTCAGTGTTCTGTTCCTTTCCTCCATTCCGACCCCGCAAGCCCTGCTCCTAAATAGCAGTTCCCGTTCTCCTTTCCGTTCCTTCAACTACCAACCAAAAAAATTAGCAGGCACGACCATCTGATAGACACCCAAAGCCTGCAAAGTAAAAAAACAACAGCCCCTTGACTGAAGCAGAACTACAAGGATTATATGGAGGGTATATAGGGATCTATAGGGTTGTATAGGGTTGAGGGCATAGAGCTGAGAAAGGGTCTAGAAAGACTACTGCCCTCATTTAACGGGGGGCTCTATAGGGTTCCCATGTTAAAAATCCTCACATACCCTAAAATCTAAACCTTGAAAACCTTAACCCTAAACCCTAAGCCCTAGACCCTAACCCTGAACCCCAAACCCCGCACATGGGGGACCCACGACAAAGGACCCCCTAAGACCTCAAAACATCACAGGGGCTTCTCCAAAAGGTCTTCCAAAAAGAAAACCGCCAGAAAAAAACCATATAGGGTTTCGGGTTTAAGGTTTGAACTCCCTAAAGGGCGTTATATATGGTTTGTTCTGAAGTTCCCCTGGGGCTTCCAGAATTTCATCCTAGACCCTATATAAGCCCCACACCCTAAACCGCCATACCGCCAAACCCTAAAGTGGAACCCCTAAGATCCTCGATCCATCCACATCTTCCCGGGCATTTTGTGCCATTGGTGGCAAAGCAGTCGGACATCTCCTCAACTCTACCAGCGTAAGGTCATTGAAGACATTACACGGCTTTAGAGGGCTAAAAAAATGAAGATGTAATTAAGGAGGGGCCCCTTCGGTCAAGAAGAAAGCTTGCAACTGCTGAAGACTTCCTCCTCATGGTGCCTCACCATGCTTATACCTGCAGGTACTTCCGAGCAACCTAACCCTCAACCGTGTCATAAGCGTCTTTCCAATCACTTGGAACCTATTACCTTTGGCCGTAGCTTTCTGGAACGAGAGGATTTGGTAGCCCATTTTTTGCATGCTTTCTTCGCGGGACCACTTTGTATTTGGAACATCGCCAAGAGTACGACTTTGCAAGACAACCTTATCCTTGAACTAGTCGGAGGGGAAGATTAACAGCTCGTCATGAAAGGCAATTCATCACCTGACCCTGGCACCAAAGTCTCCCCACCCCGCGTGTTCATACAAAAGCAAGTGACTATCGTATACCACTACAGAAAAATTGAAACATTATCGAGGGAGGGGGAGGTGATTTATCATACTTTGCAAGAGCAACTACTACTCCAACCTGCCAACCTGCAGTCCAGCCACCACTACTACACCTGCTTCTGCTGAAGCTGTGTATATTCTACTAGTCTGTACAGACGGAGAGGGAGAGAGAGAGAGAGAGAGATAACGAGAGAGAGAGAGAGAGATACATATATATATATACATATATAGTATAGAGATATATATATATATATGTAGATGTGTGTATACTACTTAACGCCAAAGGTAAGTCAAACAATGGCACTCCTAAAGTGCTAAAAACTGCAATGATTTTAAGCACTTTGTGGGTCCAGGGACTACCCGGGGGTTTCCCAAAATTAAGGGTACCATTTTAGGGGTCCCAATAAGGATCATGGTATTTTGGGGTCTATATTGGGGTCCCCTTGTTTAGGGAAACTACCACTTAGCCCTTTACCCAAAACCCTACACCCTTTACCCTCAACCGCCGGGCCGCGGGTGTGGAGCAGGACAGGTCGTGGGTCTTCGCGTCTGTGCGGTATCGGCCCATGACGTGGGGACCCATGGTCTGCCCTCCCTTGTACCTCCGGGTTTTAGGGTCTAGGGTTTGGGGGTTCAGGATTTAGAGCTTAGGGGTTTAGATATTGAGGGGTTTGGGGCTTAGGGATTTAGATATTTACGGGATGATTAAGGTCTGGGAGTACATTTATGGGATGGCTTAGGACATAGGGGTTTTCTGTTGCAAGCGCACCCCTCGGTGGGGTCAAAGTTTTTGTTTGGCCTTTAAGCTATAAGGTTTAGCAGCAGAAGGTTCAGATTCTCCCCTGCCCTCGAACAAACCCAGCACCCCTAATAATGACGACTTCCCCACATATAACAGGATATCAAACTTGGGAGGGTAAATTATTATGGGTGGAGGGGTAATCTCTGAGGGAGGAGATTATGGGTTCAGGGTTTCGGTAACGTTCAGGGTACCTTTACTGTATTTTGAACCCACGCCAAAATCAACATCTAGCTGCAACACGGGCAGTAATGAGAACTTAGTATATAACTAGGTTGATACAGGCATAACTGTGGTTCTGATATGTGTTACAAGTATCTTACTCTCAAAATCTCCACCCCCTAAACTATACATCGCTTTGAACAACTCTCATTTCTCGGCGAGATGCTGGATGATCTGACTGTTGTGGGGAAGAGTGCCTGCCAAACCGCCCCAGTCGCCCACAGCGAAGATATGCGTGTTGGTGCCCGAAATCCTGGTACAAGCAAAGGCTCATGTAGTTCCTTCTTGGGTGGTAGCGCAGGACAATTCCCACATGATCATAATAACTCCAAAGAGAAGTTAGGTAGGCAGAAGTTTGAGGAGGAATGGTCTCAAGCCTGAATAAGTCAGGCCAATGCGGAATGAAACAATAACATCGCTGCGGAGCTTCTCAAACATACCCCTCCAAGCTTCATGTTGCCCGTGGGGGACTATTGGGCCTTAGGACTTTGTGTTTATCTACCACAAGAGATGGTGTACCCTTCTGTAAGTCAAAACTCTATAATCCGTGCAGGTGGCGGGACTGCGCACTCCTTGAAACCTTGAAACCTAAACCATAAACCCTGCTCACCAGCCGTAACTCATCACCACTTATTGTCTTTCCCTGAAGCCAAAGCCCGGCTTGCAGAAGATCAGCATGCACGCGATCATTTTTACTGTATTTCAGGCTTAGGGTTTAGAAGAATAAGGTTTTGGGCTTTAGTGATACTTTAGAATTCGTGGTTCTATGCGGATTGCGGGGGAAACATGCTGATAACTGCTCAGGCTCTACGAGGCATAACATGTATAAAGTCGAATCCAAGCCTTCGATTTCCATTTTCCATTTCCTTTTCCACTTGAGCTGTGGTCTACACTCCTAGTACCCCCCCTAGTAGCCCCTACGATGCTCCCCTATATAATCTCCCTTCAAGGAGTTTAGACTTTAGCTCGCTTGGTGCTCCATTGGTCGATTTATTGTCAGTGCCGGGCTCATGGGAAGAGACTACGGCAGAATTTAGGGTTTGGGGTATAAGGTTTAAGGTTTAGGGTTTAAGGGTTCATCATAGATTTTCCATTGGCTCGTCCCTCAGAAGAGGAATTAGGGGCTTTAGGATTCTTTCCCTAGATAGATACCTCCCAATGTAAACACCCAACCACTATGGTCCATGGGGCACCCGCACAAAAGGCAACCCTAAATCTGGAAATCCTCCCCAACCCAATTTTTGCTGACAAGCCGAAGATTCTTCATAGTAGGCCACTCGATGCCGTTGTACTCGAAGGGATGCTTGGGCGGTCGAATGCCCTTCATCGATCTCGTCAGCACGGAGTGAGGGAAGTGGAGCCTGTAGTTGAAAGGAGGGTTTAGGGTACCCATTGGGGCAATATTAGGGTTGTATTGGTGTTGCATTGGGATAATGGAAAATAAAATGGAAACTACTATTTAGGGTTTAGGGATTGGGGTTCAGGGTTTAGGGTTCAGGGTTTAGGGATTGCGGTTTAGGGTTTAAGGATTCAGGCTTGGGATCTACTTTGGAATATTTAGGGACATGGCTTAGGGTTGAAAACGGTATCCAAGAACAGGTCATAGCCGAAAGGAAACTAAACCAAACCCTTTGCTGGTGGAGGTGGGTTTTGAGCCCTTCGCCAAGTCTAAACTAAGCCCTTCTACCCTAGACCCCCAAAATCCTAAACCCTAAGCCCTAAACCCCAAAGCAAACCGAGAAGAAGTCAAAACAAACCAAGCGGCGGATCTTCAGGCAAACCACCTGGCTTGCGGCAGCAAGGGATGGAAACTGGTTCGGGTTCAGGGTTAAGGGTTTAAGAGTTAGGGTTTAGGATATAGGGCTTAGACTTTAAGAGTTAGGGTTTAGGATTTAGGGTTGAGAGTTCAAGATTTAGGGCTTAGGGTTTAGGATTCAGGCTTAGGGTGCATGCAAGGGTTCAGGGCGCAAGGGTTGGAAAGAAAACTTCTGGAGTAGTGTCTGGAAAAACGGGTCTATCTAAGTAGACTGGGGGTTGAGGTAGATACGCTGTGCTTACAGCCGCGTTCGGCATTGAGGGCGGCAGGCTGGATGATTGTCGTAAGGACTCGCCAGGAACAGCGTGGGCTATCCCTAGGGCTCCAGGTACCTAAATTATGAGTCCTAGGTTCTATATACCTTATAGTTACATAGCCCAGTAACCTACCATTTACGTAACTGGGAGCCCTAGGCCCTAGGGTATCCTAACCGCACCCGCCCCAACGCTTTGATGGACTTAACCTCGACGCTGCTCTAAGTTCTGAACCCAGGGCCCTCACCTGTGCAGGGGCGGGGACAGCCGCCCTCGCCCGCGCGGTACAAGGTGTCCTGAAAGTCATGATTAGAAATAGCTGATTGATTGTTGACTGGGGCGAGGGCATGGGGAATCTGGACTTGCAGTGCATGAACTTAAGTTTCCTTTCTGGCTGTTGATATTAACAGCCTGAGGACTGAAAAGCTTCAAAGGCACACGTGCCCAGCTGAACATGTGATGCGGATCATTCTGAAAGATGCATTATATGATCTTTAGAGATACCCTTCTCAGGACGACATTCCGTCAGGTTTACATCGCTGGTGCCGTAATTTCAAAAAGTAAAAGCCAACTACAAGTCGCATGCTCGGATACGAAGTCCCCACCACATTCTCGGTGGAACTTCAAACCCTGAGGGTCCGAGTACCTAATAATCATATACTTGCCCAAAACCTGTTCTACAATTACTATTACCAAAATCCCAAGTACCTAATTGTTGGGTACTTGGACCCTGAGGGAAAAGCTTGCAACCCTTACCTCGACAGAATGAGGCATGAGAAAAGGCTACGTTGTTTTTCACAGCCCCACGTGGAAAACTTAACATCGGCTACTAGGGGGTGAAGGGACTGTGGCGATTGCTCTTGGGTTTAGGTCACCCCCACTCCCCCCCCCCAACAGTAATGGCTCCTAAGTATGAAATTCTTAGTGCCTTCATATACCCAAGTACAATAGTCCTTTGTGGTACCCATTCTGGGTGGAGGATTGACCCAATCTTGGGTTTGTTCCGAAAGCCCTCATCCACTAACCTTTCGGCACAAAAAGCAAACAATCGCCGAATCGGTAGCCCTCTTGATAATCCACTCTGTTCCTCGCGTGGCTGACCGAGGATGAGCCTGACACAGCACCCATCTGCACCTTTGGCACCCCTAGACCCTATAAACCCTAAATCCATTCTGTGTTCCGTTACCCCCTTATAATCCCTACATATAGTCCCCCTGAAGTAGATAGAATATGGCTTTGGGTATATTATATATCTCCATATACCCCATATTCTATCTACTTAAGGGGGACTATAACCCCTACATAAACCCCATGTTGAACCCGAAACCTACAGCTGGAACCAGAAGCTCTGAACTCCGGAGCGCGCATCCTCTACGCGGAGCTTCCTGATCTCAAACTCCAAGAAGTTTAATCCCTACACCTTATGCTAGGGTTGAGGGTTTAGAGTTTAGGGCTTAAGGTTTATAGGGCTTAGGGTTGAGGGTTTAGGGCTTCAACCCTAAACTAAACAATAAACCCTTCTCAAAGGCTCATAGGCGGGGCCCCTGGAAGGGATGTCTATCCCTAAGGGTCCAAGTACCCAACAATTAGGTACTTGGGATTTTGGTAATAGTAATTGTAGAACAGGTTTTGGGCAAGTATACTATTATCAGGTACTCGGACCGTTAGGGTATACTCATTACCTTCTACAACATGTTTACCGTGCTCATATGCCACCTTTGTAACTGGGTCATTCTATGATCCTAAACCCGTAACCCCTGAACCTTACATCCTAAAACGTCATCCCCCAAGCCCCCAGGAGTCCTGAAATTTGCTTGGAGCCGACTGAGGTGTCAGGCCAGGGTACCACCCCGGGTTGGCATAGATCCTCGAATAGTTTAGGGAGTTTAGGGCTTGTGGGGCTTGAGGTTTCGGGTGTAGGGTTGTTCCTGCAATGAGCGATACTTGTATAGGTTCATGCCTGAAAGAAGGAATGCAAAGACGGACTCGTCCCACAAAGACCGCACAAAGGTTGTGCCGTCCCTTGCATTTGGTGCAGCAAGAGGGATTGAAGTCCGTTTCCCTCGTTTGTCTATTACAAGGCTCTGAAGCAGACACATGTATGCTTCATAAAGCGCCATTCACGCACTTGTTTGCGCCTAGAGTTGGTAGGTATCATATGCCCGCGTCCTGCTTTCGACGGCCCCTTTGCAGGGATACCGGTCCCAAATCCCACCGGAACCTGTAGCCTGCTGAAGCATTAACTCATCCCGAAAACTGGGGGCATTCCTGCTGAAGTCATGTTTGGCATCCCTGTATCGCTTTCAACATAGAATGGCCTGTGTTTGAAGCCCCCTGGAACCTGCGAGTGGAGCACAGGCCCGAAAACCTAAGCCCCATGCCCTAAGGGTCCACGTACGCAACAGTTATGTACTTGGGATTTTGGTAATAGTGATCTGTAGTACAGGTTTTGGGTACGTGTATGACTATTAGCTACTTGGACCCTTAGGGATTGGGTTCACTGCACACAGCGCAGACTGAGCGTGGCTCCCGTCACTCATGGCCCACTTGATCTTCTTGAAGCAACTGAGCCGTCTGTATGGGGCAGGGTTTCACAATCTGGGGGTTTCCCAAAATTGGGGGTACCATTTGGGGTCTCTGTAATCAGGATGATAGTATTTTAGGGGTCTATATTGAGGTTCCCCTATTTTGTGGAAACTCCCATCTGAGTGTTCGTGTAGTGTTTGGAGTTGGAACCCTTACAAGCCACTTTGTTTAAAGACATAGGTCAGTACGCTACCTCCAACCAGAAATAGTTGTAAAAGGAACACAAGTCTAACTTCTCAGCCCCTTTCTTCGGGGTGCCATGTTTGCTTTTGGGAGTATAGCTCCTCCATATTCCTGTGAGCCGAGGTCCGGGCTCCTCTGGCTTCTGCTCTCTACGGTTAGGGTTCAGGGCTTAGGGTTTAGGGCTTAGGGTTTAGGACGTCTTGGGGAAGGGTTTTGACAGCAAGAAAGGAAGTACTGAACCGATTGGCACCACAGCGTGAAAGACTCCCGCCGAACTACTGAACTTGGAATGCACGAATTAAAGGTCAGGGCTGTGTGTCGTCATACATACGGAAAGGCGAGTTTTATGAACCTCCTGTACTTCTCCAACACTGCAGCTGCAGCGTTACTCTTCTCAAACGTCCAGTTAGCTTCTGATGGGGCTGGTTCCAGCTTCTTTTCCGTTCTATAAACTCTATAGACCCCAAATCCCAATGTCATTTTCATGCACCAAACCTCCAACAGTAGTTTCATGCATATACAGCTGCCAATTTCGATTTCATCCCTAAACCCCAAACCCGTAAAACCTAAACCTGCTAGCCAGAAGCCAGGAACCTCAATCAAGAGGGCTCGGCGACCAAATCCTGAAAATCCCAACCTGAACCCTGAAATCCTAAATCCTGAGCCCTGCACCCTCATATAACCCCTATATTCCTTTATGCTACATCCCCTTTAGCCTAAACCCTAAACCCTAAACCCTTAATCCCTAAACCCTTAATCCCTTAACCTACACCCTCACCCTAACCTCAGCCGAGAGGGCTCAGTGCCGGCAATCTGGTCGCTGCAGTCAGGATCCTTCCCAACATCCTCGGGCTCTTCCACCTCAACTTTCTCTGAAGAGTTGGGGTTAAGGGTTGTGTGTATGTTTTTAAACCCCTCGCACCTTTGATTTAGGGTTCCACTCAGACACTTGCAGCTTGTACCCTCAAAGGCCTTTTGTGCTCCCTATAACTCTAAAACTCCCTGGGACCTCGAAACCCTGTGATGAATCCTAAGCCCTTCAAGATTCAGGGTTTATGGTCTAAGGTTTAGGGTTTCAGGCTTCACCTTTAGAAGCTTAAAGGCTTAGCAACATTCTCCCATTTTAGTATCGCATAACCCCAAAACCCCAGTATGCCATTCAGGCCGCTACAGTACAATCCCTATGATCCTCTATTCACACTTAATGTCCATGTAGTTTGCCATCTCCTTTTCTGAAAAACCGACATGTCCCTTATTCCTACATATGTATATGCATAGACATTTGTACCCCTATGTTACCCCGATAAATCTAAAGCATGGTCCTTTGCAGAGTGGGTCAGGGAGTTGTCCGTTGTACCCTTCGGGTTTGTACCATTGGGTTTGGATTCCTAAGCCAGGTACTGCTACCCCCAATGAGGGTATTTGCTGCAAGAAACAAATGTTTCAGCCAAAGCGGCACTAGGCAGGCAATTGCTCAGAGTTTGGGGT